TGATGTGGGTTATAATGATAAAGGTGGCCTAGGTTACTTTTCAGGGACCTGTGGGCCACTTCTGTTGAAAACACTGACTTCATTGGGCCTGCAGGAGGTGTCTGATAGATGACTGGGATGGAATGAAAAGGCTGGTTATCTCTGTCTTCATACTAATCTCTGCTCCCTTTGCTGCCTTAGCACTTGGGTCAATTCTACTCAGCTCTGCTTGTAGACATACTGATTGGTGGTGGGAGCTGCTATGTGTTTTCTTCTACTCTGCCACCCTGGTATTTTTCCACCAGCTGTAGCAGCACAAGAATCCAAGGTCCTTCTCTGCTATTCTAAGACCCAGATCAAGCCACAAGGCCAGGACATTTGCACAGATGATGGTGGCAGCTTCAAGAGTAGCTCAGCCAATCCTGGGACAACTCTACTGTTACTACCTGGTGTCTGAATCTGATACAAAAATGTAACTGGAACCATGCTCTGGGCAGGTGGGAAATTACCAGACCCTAGCCCCCCCCCCCAGCATATCAATTAAAATCTCCCATCTCCCTTTGTTAGGGAAGCTGTCTGGTTCTTCCATCATGCTGTTTCCCTTCAGCGGAAGTCCTACTTATTCCACAATTAAAGCCCTGCCTGCAAGTCCTCCCCAAACTTGGCTCAATTTTGTTTCCACCGTTTCTGAATCAAAAGTTCCCATCTTGGATTATGAAGAGGGTGAGCTCTGGGGGAAGTGCCTCAGAGGAGGTGCCGGGAGAGTAGGGTGCTGTGTTCTGAGCTGAAGGTGAAGCTGGTGGAGTAAGAAGATACAGGTGGGCAGTCTGAATGCCAGAGTGGATATCTGTTTCACTAAAGCATTTATAATTAATTCCTTGTGTGCTGAGCCTCATTTCCACCACCTACATGGCAGCCTCAGTTGGCACAGACTTCGGGTATGACTATTGATTTCCAGTTCAATTGATTCAAGTGATTTGAATAAAAGCCTCTGGGAAGACTTCATTAGTGATGAGGCAGATGAAAAGACTTATAATGATGCACTTTTCTGATATAATGGCACAGTATGGAGACAGTGTATCACCATACCCCCAAACACACATTGGTATTCTCCACCAGAAAGGACAGCCATTTGATAAGGTGACAAAATTTGATAAGGTGACAAAATGCATGCATTTTATACTAAATGAGCAGTTCATGGAGAAAGTTTGTTGATCCCGAAAACATAATAGTGGAATTGATCTACTTGGGAACTATTTTTGGCAGTGCCAGTTCCTTTTTCCTTTTGTTAGTCTAGGTTTGATGTGCTTTGGGGCTTGGATTGGACTTTGTGCTTGTATCTGCCGAAGCTCGTATCCCCCCATGCCAAGGGCATTCTCTATCTCCTGGCAGGTCTGAGTACACTGGGCTTAGGAAGTTGTTTGGTTGCTGGCCTACTCTAGCACAATCTAGAGCTACCTAAGGATGTGTCTGGTGAATCGGGATGGTCCTTATACCTGGCTTGTGTTTCCACTCCCTTACAGTTCACGGCTTCTCTTCTATTCATCTGGGCTGTTCACACAAACTGGAAAGAGTACACTTAATGAAGACATATCCGGTGGCGTGAATAGGATGCTGCCTGCTTTACATTTACCATTTTTAATATTTTTGATATTAATGTTTTCCCTTGCCTCCCTCCTAAATGTTTTCATTTTTTTTGATATACCATTTTATCCTGAACATCCATTTTATTTATACACACACACATACCACTTAATTACATTAAATACCACTAAAATTTATGTAGTTTCCTCAGAGTGATTCCATTTCTCAAACTAATCTAGGTTCAAAGTCTAGACAGAAAGAAATAGAGATTTGACACAAATTTGTGACAGAAAATTGGTTGTGGGAAATTGACCCAGACTAAGTTCTGCTTATGTCTATTAGACTTTCCACTAAAAGCGCAGTAACCATTGTACCATCAACAAATTTCTTTGGTAAACCTCTTATTGTTAGAATTTCATGTTCACTTTGATGTTGTAGATAGCCAATCATCCAGGCATATTAGTGCTATTTTCAAAAACTCCCTATAAATGGAATATTATCTAAGATCCTTTTTTTTTTTTGGTAAACTTTGGCACATAGCTTCACCTGATGTGAAATATGGCAGCTATTTATGTCTATACCATGTTCATCATCTACAAGAAAAGAAGTGAAAATTACAGTATTTACTTGAAATTTTAACTTTGTAACTAGAAAAGTCTAATTCAGCCAGATAAACTGGCTAATCTTATTTTATTGTATTGCTTAAAAATAAAAAACAACAAATTCCTTTATAGGATTTTCTTTCCTTTCTTTCTTTCTTTTTTTTTTTTTTACATATTTTTTAGTTGTTGATGGACTTTTATTTTATTTATTTAAAAAAGGTGTGTGGTGCTGAGAATCGAACTCAGTTCTTCACATAATGCTAGGCAGGCATTCTACCACCAAGCCACAACCCGAGCCCATCTTCGTAGGATTTTCAGTGCCACCCAAACATTTGTAATTTTCCCTTCTCTTTTCCACATCAGGCTTGTTAAAAAGAGTGCTTTCTTTTTAACATTGTTAGGATCACAGGGCAAGAAATTTCCTAACTGCTTTCTATTTATTCCAGCTAAGGACCATAAGAAAGATTCTACCATAAAGACCTGACAGAGCTGGGAATTCTACCACAAGATCCAAAGCTAGGTTGGGGTTGTGGCTCAGCGGTAGAGCATTTGCCTAGTAAGTGTGAGGCACTGGGCTCGATCCTCAGCACCACATTAAAACTAAATAAATAAAATAAAGATATTATTACTTCAACTAAAAAAATGTTCAAAAAAAAAAAAAAAGATTTAAAGCTGTGGCTATCAAACTCCAGCTATGATCTTTATTTCTTGTGGTGAAATGACATGCCTTTTTCTTGCTTAAATCCCTTCCTGGTGTATATCATTATTTAATGGCTTATAATTCACTTTCAATAAATATCTATAAACATTGAACTTTAAAAAATCTTATTTATTCAATTACTGTAGCATTGACAGATTTAAAAAATAAAGTAATTTAGTCATTTTTTCCCATATCTTAAATCTTTTTTAAAAAATAAAAATGAGAAGAGACTCAGAAAAAAAAAAGTTTTCATCTCTGGCAACAATTCCACTGCAGAGAGGGTCACAGAGCTACCACCGGTAGCCACAGCCTAATGTCCACACAGCCTTGCAAAGGGTCTGGCTAGGGGGAAGGAGGGGCCCAGGGCTGGTGGTAGCTGAATGGAAAAGTTTGTAACCATCCAGGGATCAAGGTACTCTTCTTTCCTTTCTCTGGGATAAGGACCAGGGGACCATAACAGTACTAAATTATGAAGGTGAATGTCAGTGGTCCTATCTGCTACAGACCTATGACAGTAAGAGACCCGTAAGCAATAAGTGTCCTATTCTGAGAGGCTTTTTGGTACTTTCTGGATTACTTTACTTTGGTTGTCTATTAAATGGCCTCACTCAGAATTTGACTACATATCAGGGGAAAAAACCAATCACCTAAAAATGCTTCTCCATTTTTTATGAAAGACACTGGGACACTGGGTGGGGGGTGATTTGTACCTTAATTTTATGAATGTTTTTCATTTTTAAATTTTCTATAATTGCTATGATTTGGATCTGAAATGTCCTCCAAAAGTTCATGTGTTGAAGAGTTGGTCTCCAATGTAGTAGTGTTCAGAGTTGGGGCTTTTGGAAGGTGATTGGATCGTGAGAGCTCTGATCTCATGGCTTAATGGGCTGTTGAGAAGCGGTGGACACTTTAGAAGGTGAGGCTTAGTTGGAGGATGTAGGTCCATGGGGGCGAGCCCTTGAAGGCTCTCTCTAGTCCCTGGCTCTTTCCTGTCTCTATTTGCTTCCTGGCCACCACGAGTTGAGCAGCTTTGCTCTACCATGGATCCCTGCCATGATGTGCTGCCTCACTACAGGACCAGAAACAATGAAGTCAAATGACTGTGGACTGAAATCTCTGAAATTATGAGCCAAAATAAACCTTTCCTCTTTCAACCTTTTCTCTCAGGCATTTTGTCACGGTGACACAGAGTTGAGTAACAATTTGTATTCATGTATAATCAGAAAAATGTTATTTTGAAACTCCGCAGGAAAATAAGCCTTTCTGATATGTTTAAATATTATGGAATTTAGGGGGGTCTGTTCTTTCCCCATAAGTCATTAAATTTATATGCAAAGATGTTTTCTTGTTCTTATCACTCCTATCCTTTTGTCCCTCTCTTTGACTTCATGTCATTTCAGTGGACTCTTTGTTGAAGTGACTAAGCCCCAGCAATCAGTACAAGCCCAGTTCTTGGCTGGACCACACTCTGAGCTCAGATGAATGGCTATCACATGCATGTGGTAGCCAAAGCCAGGATGTGAGATGCCTGGTTTTGGATACACTCATGTAAAATAAAGTACTTGGACTTGGGATTGTTCTTCCCTTAGTTATGGTACATAGTCTGGGAAAGGAGAATGGCATCTTGGGTTGAGGCCAAGTATATTCCACCTACCCTGGGGCTCAGCTTTCATTCTCCCCCTCCCTCGGTTCACATCTTGGGGCAAAGGGCAAAACTGTAATCAGGTGGAACATGGGTTCAGATTTCCACATGGATATTGAATGTGGCACTCAAGGCACAAATTATCCCAATTCAATCTTACAGGTATATTTTGGATCTGGACTATCCTCCAAGTTCTGTGGTTTAAAAGCTTGGTTTCAAAATAGTGGTGTTTATTGGGAGGGTGGAACATTTAAGAGGTTAAGCCTAGCTGGAGGAAATTAGGTCATGAGGGCTAACTTTGGAGGAGCTATTGGAATGCTGGCCCCTTCCTATCTCTCTCTGCTCAACAGTCACAATGAGTGAACAGCTTCCTCCATCAGCTCCTGACATGATATAATGCCTAAAAGCAGGTCCATCAACCATGGATGGAAATTTCTGAAACTAAGCCAAAATAAACCTTTTCTCTTTGTAAGCTGATCATCTCAGATAGTTTGCCACAGTAATGGCAAGATGATTAAACACAAATGGTTAGCACAGCTTTGACCCCCAATCCCTAGTCCCACTTATTGATGAGTTTATTTTTCTTGTTTTAGTCAAGCCAAATGCAAACCCCTTCACATATATGAATTTCATTTTGATAGCAACCTTTTGACATCATTGTATTTTATCTACAGACAAAAGTTTTAATACATTTTCTTCTCATCTTTTGAAAAACATTCCCAGACTCACTCACTCACTCTCTCTCTCTCTCTCTCTCTCTCTCTCTATCTATCTATATATATATATCCATTCTTCTCATAGTTATTTAGATATTATTTTAGAATGTCAAGGGAAAGTATGTTACTCATTTTCTTAAAATTCACAATCATAAAATTATGCATGTAGTGAGTGCCTGGAAAAGCTTTCAGTGAGATACGGTTTCTAAAGGAATGTGGTAATAAGAGAAATGGACAGGTGGAGTTGGCCACTCCTTTTATCTTCATTCCTTGGGAGAAGATCTGAAGAGAGTGACTTTGGTTGTGAAGAAAAGAACTCATAAAACATCTGAAGAAAGCCACCTGTGCAGGGACATGCAACACATCCTACATAGTCCCCCGGCTTGTTGCTATGGGGTGGCCCTCTATTGTATCCTTGGAGTCCTCAAATTTCCAAAATGTCTCCATTGAGTCCTCCAAGTTCTTCCTTTGGGATTGCTAAACAGGATGCTTCCGGTGTTTTCAGCCCTTCAGTGGAACAAGGGACAGAAAACACGCACTTAAAGAAAAGGGTAAACAAAAGAGAATAGTTTGGATTCATTCTTCTGTCATTTGGAGACTTTCTGGAAGGAAGGTCAGTCATTGGTGGCAGTAATCCTGTCTATTCGTGCTGTTTGGATTGGCCACATGCACAAATCCAACTCGACTTACAGCCACATTGAAAACAATGTCTCTAAGGAAAACTTACCATTTCTTAATAAAAACAAAACCCAGAATTTCCTAAGTAAGCCCTTAAAATAAGCACTTTCTTGGTCAAAGGCAGGCTGGAATTTAGCTCTTGTGGTTCTCTCAGGATGGAAACTGCCCCTCCCCGCCCCATCCCTCTGGCTCTAGTTTCTGCACATGGTGGTGTCTGCTGCAGCTGCAGGGCATTCTGGGAAGCAGATGTGCCCTCTCCTAGAGGGAAGATGAATGGTGAAAGTAAGTGTACAGGTCATGGAACATATCCTTTTTGGAAATAAACATTTCCTTTCTCATGCTTAGAGGAAACAGAAAAGCTAAGCACACAGAGAAATCAGATTAGAGAATCATGTGCACATTTTCCTGAAAATACAGAATTTATTATTTAGGGTCTGAAACCTCCATTACACCTACATACATCTACATATGACTTGCTGCCTGTGTAGTGTGTCCAAACAGGACACCTAAAAATAAAGTGGATGATAAAGGTAATGAAGATGGCTTTATTTTAAAAATTAACTTATTGTACATCATAATTACAATTAATAACAATATATTGTAGTAGCAAAGAAAGTAGACTTTATGGGTTATTACCACATAAAAAATAAATGATGGGTAAAGCATGTGTTAAATAGCTTTATTTGGCCAATTCACAACATAA